TTTTCGTCTTTCTCGTTTTGCGTGTCGGATACCGTGGGACATGCCGGGTGTGTCCAAGAGTTGGTTGGGACATTTATTAGAGTTCAGAACTCTTAGAAATGCAATGGTTGTCATTTTGACATTTTTCCCTTTTTCGGGCCGAACGGTCCTAGGTGGGACCCGCTACCGGAATTGTTGTGTACAGGGGTTGCGTCTTGAGTCCATTGCATTTCAAGCATAATTATTTTGTGCATAATTTTTTGGTAATGTGTTAATTATGTTGTAGTAATATATTAGTGCATATATATTTTTGTGGTGGAAAATTAAAATTTAAAAGAGTGGTGGGACCCACCATTTCATTATTTAGTGGCATAGAGGCCATATTTGACCTCACTTTTTCTCTCTCCCCGTAAAGCTCTCTCTTCCCTCTTTTCTTCTCTTTTTCTTTTTATTTTCTTCACAAATTTCATCCTTGATTACTCTCTCTCAATTTTGAGAATTTGTTGGTGCTGTTTGCGGCAAATCGATGAGCTCGTTGTGATCTACGCGTTGATAGGAGCAATTCACCATTTTGGCCAACCCTTAATTTTTGAAATTAGGACATCAAATTGGGAGTTTTTGTATTTTTGGAGGTAGGGGTTTCTAATACATAATTTCTTACACCTCTATGAATTACCCTTCATGATTTGTTGTCAAGCATGCTAAAAGTATGTTGATTTTCTTGCAAAATGTTTAAATTGTTGTAATTGAAGTATGTGATTATATGTATTAGTAAATATTATGTAAATTAGCATGCTTAAGTGGTGGTATTCCTTGTCTATGATGATTAAATTGCCAAATTTCATAATATGAAAGCATGATATTTCTTTTGGGATTTCTTGTATATTATACTATGTGAATTGAGCTTGGATTCAATGTATGGAAATGGACATTGGCATGACATGGAATAGCATGATACATTTATGCATGACATTGCGCAAGGAAATTGGGAAAATTGATTTGAAATGGAAAAAGGGAAATTTTTCGGAAAAGTTTTGATAAAGGGTTTGCGAAAAACCCGGGCGCCTAGGAGTTACCTAGGGTCCGTGGCGTTAGTGCAACCTAGAGGGGATTAAGGAGATTATCTTAGCGTGGTTGAGTTACCTGGGCCCCAAATGAAGCCATGGAGTTGCCATGGGTCAGGGACAGTTAGTCAATCTTCCTCTCGTGCCGCCATGGAGTTGCCATGGGACAGGTTTCACTAACGGTTTGGAAATGATGATAGAAAAGGTTTTGAAAATAGGGAGTGACATTGCATGACATCGCATCCCATTGTACGGCATAATTCATTCACAACTTGGGTTTATTGATATTGATGTTGTGGTTGTATTCTCCCCAGTACGGCATGATCCATTTTCCTTTAGTTTTTATTCATTGTATTGATTCACGGGGTCACAAGAGATGTGTCTTAGGCACCACCTACTGAGAATTTGCTCACCCCTTTATATTAACATTTTTCAGGTCACAGGAAGGAGGTGGCGGATGATAATCCATCACATGTTTAAACGGATTGAAAAGAACTTGGACCTCATTTGTGATCAATGTATTTATTTCTAATTTTGTAGTAAAAATGTATTAAGACGTATAGTTTGAGCAGTTTGGTCTTAAAATGCTCAATTGTAATTCAATGTATTTGCTTAGGGTAGAAAATGGTTTTTGAGACCTTGGCACCATATTTTGAAATCTCATTAGAATTTATATTTTTTTCTGAGGGTTATAGCTTTTCATGATGTAACTTAAACTCATTTTGTTTATGTACATTATAGCCGAACAATGATGATGAATGTATGGTGTGAACAAAGTTTCTTTGTATTGCCATGTTGTATAATTCCTTAAATTAGCTTGTCAAATTGTTTATTTTTACCATTCATGCATGTTGGGTTGAGAGGATTTTAAGGTGCAGCTTAGAAATGCAATTGAGGCATCAATTTTAGACCTCCCAGGTTAGGAGCCGGCTCTTTTTTGTCTAGTAAGCATTTACGGCAAATTTTCCACATAGAGCCAGCTCAATTAGAATTAGAGCGGGCTCTCTCAGCAAAAAGGAGGCAGCTCCATCAAAATGAGAGCTGGTTCCCTTGCTACTTTGAACCTTTTCTTAGCCCGAATGTTGAATGGCCATATCTCTCTCGTTTTAAATCCAAATGGGGTCATTCTTGAGTCCAATTCAAGGATTTTGAGTCATCTTTCCAATGGTACCAATGCCATTTTTAGATTCCTCTCCTACTGGGAGACATTCACATTTTAGTTGGATAGTGTTGGAAATTGTCCTAGGCCATGATAGGGTAGTTTTGGGAAACCTAGCTAATGTCCCTCGAACCTCAAGGGATGTTACAAAATGGTTGAGATGGATTCATTTAACCTTGTTTGTGTCATATTTCTCTCTTCACTTATGAAATGACCAAGTTGCCCCCATGACCCAATTATTGTTTCAGACCCCAGGCTTGGGTCGTTACAATTAATGATCAAGTTAAAGGAAGATAAGAGAGAGAGTGTGTGAGAAAGTAGAGAGATCCCAAGCTTGATCCAAAATCCAACCCTTGTAAAATGACTTGAAAATCCCTTATATACTTGACTTTTGGGCTGCAAAATGGTCGATCCGTACACTAAAGTCAGCAATTGAGTGCACCACGAATTTGGCTCGAAATAGACTTCAAATCACAACTTAAAACGCTTCCACAGATTCGGCTCTAAACAGACTTCAAATAACAACTTAAAATGCTTATGCCGCAACCGGCACGGTCATGTGTGTTGAGATATTGATTGTGTAGTTTTTATTTGTTTCTTTTCAATTATTTAGCATGGATACGGATATGTCGACACACCAAATTTTAAAAAAGTAGGACACGGGTGCGACTTGGACACGACTATATAAATATGAATTTTTATTTGTATACATGTATTGGGGTGATAGTATTATAAAACTTTATTTCATTTTAATTTTTATACTTTGAGTTGTAATGATTTTTATATCATATATACAACATTCCACTACTTTATCATAATATCATTTTTATTTTAAATGAACAAATATAAAGTGTATAATGTCATTTTTTTTAAGAAAAAAATTGAACACTTAAGAATGTATTCATATTCTTTTTTAAAGATTACCGTGTACGTTTGTGTTAGAAATGTTCGGTCTAAGGGTTCAAGAAGTATCAGAAGTGTCGGAAAAGTATACAATGGTATCAAAGCCATTTATTGCTGGTAACTAGTGATTATTATATTGTTAATTTCTCTAATAATTCTATTGTTCAAATATTTTGATAATTACTTTGTCATATTTATACCTATTATCACCTGTCTGCCTTTGAGATAGGTGTTTTGGTATTAGGGTTTTGTTAACTGATTTTCAAAAGATTTATGTTCTAATTCTTTGAAAACTGTTTTTGAAAGCTGAAAACTAAACTGATCCAGGTGGGGTCACAGTGGTTTTGAAGGGAATAGGCAGGGCGTGCCTGACCCAAAAATAAACTCAGCCTGGTACATATTGTTGAATACAAAGATATGTTTCTCTATATATTGCCCACTTAATTGCGATTAGAGTTAATTCAAATACTGGAGTACTTACAAAAAACATAAAAACCTTTTTTTTTATTTTTATAAGTAATATTTTATTAAAAACGCTCAAGATGAGAGTGGAACCCAAAGGAAATAAAAGGCCAAAGGCGCCTCAAACCTTCAAAAAGGCTAACAAGACAAAAATCTCCTCTAAAGATCTATAATCTCTCCCTGAAACCCAACAAAAAAATGTGGAAATAATAGAGAACTTAAGCATAGAAACAAGTTTCTCCTTTCCCTCTAAATATCTACGATTCCTCTCTAGCCAAATGCGTCACCAAAGACAAAGAGGTGTAGCCCTCCAAGTATCCTGCACGAGAGTTCCAATTGAAACACCTCTCCAGGCCTCAATCAAAACTCTAGAAGAACGAGGCATAAACCAATGGATCCCAAATAATCCAAGCATTAAATCCCAACAGTCTCTGGCCATGCTGCAATGTAAAAGAAGGTGATCAATTGTCTCCTCATTGCACAAGAACATATAGCAACAATTGACCCCTACCTGATTTCTCCATCTCAAATTATCCTGGGTTAAAATCTTTCCCAGAACGGAAGTCCAAGCAAAGAAGACAACCTTAAGGGGAACCTTAGAACGCCAAATAGACTTCCAGAGGAAAGGGCCTCCATCAGAAACCGAAAGGCACCTAAAAAAGGACCTAACCTTAAAACTACCGTGAAAGTTAGGATTCCAAAGCCAACAATCCGAATCCCCAACTGTGATTACCTAGCGATACAGAACCTCCAAAAAATGAGAAACCTCTTCAGTCTCCCAGTCCTGAAAGAGTCTTCTAAACTGAACATCCCAAGTCAATGTCCCATTATCGAGGTGATAACAGTCAATCACCATGGCTTATCTGTGAGAAACAATCCTATAAAGCCGAAGGAAAGCAAAAGCAAGGGGAAGCTTCCCACACTAAAGATCCTCCCAAAATCTGATCTTTCTACCATCTTTAATCCAAAAATGAACATGATTGTAGAAAACATCCCGCCCCCTTCGAATGAAAGTCCAAACCCCCACTCCCCTAGGACTCCGCACCTCAAGAGAGCTCCAACCACCTCTGTTCTCCCTAAACTTGCTCGCGATAACTCTCCTCCAAAGCCAATGCCTCCCAATCCCAAACCTCCAAAGTCATTTCCTAATGAGAGCCTTATTAAAAGGCAACAACCTCCGTAACCCTAAACCTCCATAACGAATCAAACAGCACACTTGATCCCACAGAACCAGATGATACTTGAATTCCTCTCCCCTCCCCCCCCAAACAAAGTTACACTGTAATCTCTTAATTCTCTCAGCCACCGAAGAAAAGATCTGAAAGAGGGAGATAAAATAAGTGGGGAGACTAGAAAAGGTGCTCTTAATAAGTGTGACCCTGCCCCCTTTGGAGAAGTACTATTTTTTCCACCCCACCAACCTCTTTTTAAATCTATCCACAACAGGATCCCAGCTCCCCACACATCTCGAAGGGGCTCCCAAAGGCAACCCTAAGTAGGAAATGGGAAAAAAAACCAGTACAACAACCAAGAATCTGAGCAAACATCTTGATCTCAGGAACATCCCCAACAAGCACAAGAACACTCTTACCAATATTCACCTTGAGGCCAGAGACAACTTGGAACCAAATCAAAACACATCTCAAATACCTCGTTTGAGACGCATCAACATCACAAAGTACCAGAGTGTCATCAGCAAACATCAAGTGGGAGACCTCCAGCTGACTAACAACATCCCTGCCCACCCGGAAACCTTTAAAAAAAACCCAACTCCACAGCCCTATTCACAAAAAAAAACAAGAAAGGAGAGAGCGGATCCCCTTGTCTCAAGCCCCTTAAACTAGAGAAAAAACCCATTGGAGCCCCATTTACTAGGATAGAAAATCGAACACTAGAAATGCAAAACAGAATCCATCTCCTCCAACGCCCACCAAAACCCATCCTCTCCAACAGATGGAGGAGGAAACTCCAACTCACATGATCATATGCCTTCTCAATATCCAGCTTGCATAAAACACCCGAGACCTACAACTCAATCGGGAGTCCACACATTCACTAGCAATAAGGACTGAATCCAAAATCTGTCTACCTCCCACAAAAACATTATGAGAATCAGAGATGACACCATCCAAAACCTTTCTCAACCTGGAAGCCAAGACTTTAGCAATCAACTTATAAAAGCATCCCACTAAGCTAATAGGACGAAAATCCTGAACATCTATCGCCCCTCCCTTCTTTAGAATAAGAGCAATAAAAGTGGCATTCAAACTCTTCTCAAAAGAGCCCTGATCATAGAAAGCATGAAAAAAACACATCACCTTCTCACGGACAACCTCTTAACACTCCAAAAGGAATCTCATAGTAAAACCATCAGGCCCTAGGGCTTTATCCCCGTTACAGCTCTTCAAAGCAACCAAAACTTCCTCCTCCGAAAAAGGCTCTTCTAAAGCAGAGCACTCCTCACTCGAGATAGAGTCAAAGTGAAGTCCTGCAAGCAAAAGACGCCACCCAATTGGTTCAATGAACAAACTAGAAAAGAAATCAACAAAACCCTTACAAATCTCCTCCTCCTTACACAACAACTCCCCATCCACCTGAATCATCCCAATATGATTGCCCCTTCTATGAGCATTAGCCAGTCTATGAAATTTTTTTGTATTATTGTCGTCATCCTTAAGCCACACAACTCTAGACTTCTGCATATACGAAATCTCCTCCATAATGGCGATTTCTGCAAACTCTGTCTGACACTCCACCCTCCTAAGCTTCAAGGGAACCGGCAGTAGACCCTGACCCTCCATCCTATCAATATCAGCAATCTCAGAAAAAAACCCGATTCTTCCTCCAAGCCAGATTTTCGAACACCTCTTTATTCCAAACTTTAAGATCATTCTTCAAAAGACGCAACTTGCCAGCATAAGAATGACTTGGGGATCCACCCACTCCATACCCACTCCATACCCATTCCATACCCCAAAGAACATTAAAACCTTTATATCCACTTTTATTTGGATTATATGTAATAAGGAGATTAATGCAACTAACAGAGTGAGTAGGAGGATATATGAAAAGAATTAAGAAAAGGCCTCAAGAGAATAGTAAAAACAAAATTTTTGAAAAAAATTCAATTGAAAGGCAGCAGATACCATATTCAATCTAAGTATAAAAAAACCATAGATATTACTACTAAACATCTCAGGTATTTGGCATGGTATATGTAACCATATTCCTATATATGTATTTTTAAAGTAGGAGAGGGAAAGAAAGAGACTATACAGGACACAAATCTATAACTATAAGACCCTTTAACACCCACATAAAGAAACGATTAATGTACAAACCTAGAAATCATTAGTAGAATACAAAATAGATATTATCCCAAACATACAAATTATATTCTAGGATTAATTCTCATCATCATTGTCCGAAATGCAACTCTTGAGGATAACCAAGTAGTTGTTTCCTCAGTAGAGGTATCATAAGGCAAATGATTGCTATTTGAAGATGTTATGAGCTGCTAAAGCATACAGAGAATGTTCTTGTACCCTTGATATTTAACTTAAGAAGGGTAGTCAACTTTTTAAATCATCCGATAGGGATCACAAACTTAAAATGAGATTCAACAATAAGACGTCCATGATTGTCCATAAGAGAGAGCCCCAGAGTTGCCGGTGAGCAACCTGCTGAATGATATTTATCCCTCAAGGTGGCCTCAAAATTGCCACCATAAGTAACACCGCCCTTACCAGCTACTGCAGCCCCACACAACACGAATTTGAGTCATTTCTTAACAAGCAATTTGTCCTCGACTTTCATTCCTGTTGTTATGCCATCACGCAGAAAAGTAACTGAAGTACCAAAACTTGCATTGTTTTTTCTGTAATTAATAAGTCTCGTGTTGCTAATGACAGTAGCATAAAAAGAGTTCATTGTCCTATTAAAAGTCCCCATTTTAAAATATAAAGAAGTTTCTTTCCCTTTCCCTTTCCTGTGCTTTACTTTACTAGCTATTTCCATGGAGCCTCCAAATTTGCTCTTCTCCTTCAAAAATATACCCAAAAGACTTATAGGTATACTGTCTTTAACCTCACAGAATCTACCCATGAAAGATGAGTTGTAACTAAAATTGTGATCCCAGGGTAGTAGAATATTTTCAGCTGGCCTCATAAGTCAATAGCTGAAGAAATCAGCAGGAAAAAGATACAGGTAAGTTGGATGCTGAGTATCGAAAGTTATAGGCAAATCATCCACATCCTCATCTGGTAAGGAGTAACACATATCATCATTCTCCACTTTTATTCCTTTCAAGTAGCACTGCTTCTTCAGGAATAGTTTTTCCCAGTATTTCAGTTCATCAAAATAAGCCGCCTTCAGGCCTGTTGTGAGATTTGTTATCTGGGGCTTTGTTAGAATCTTAATTGGTGGCAAATCATGATAGTTATCTGATTCACCATTCAAATTTGATGATAAGTAATCATCAGCATCATTTGCTGAGGGAAAATTAAGATGATGATGGAGTTGCGGATGCAGCTGAGGGATTGATTGGAAAAGGGAGGTAAAAAGGAAATTCTAAGGAGTTGGTTTTGTTGATCGAATGCCAAAAAGCAATCTTCCAAGCCAAAATCCAGTAGTAGTAGTATTGGTTCGCAACTTTAGAAGGGTATCATTTGCCTCATCCATAATCATTGATGCAAAGGAAAGCAATAACAAGCGAGACACCCAAACCTGACCATTAGGTACCACGCTCAGCCCAATGTTGTTCTTTCTGCATCTTCAGTGGTTCGCTGCTAAAACAATTGGATTTATGATCTGCGTCATCCCCACTGCCTCGTAAATTGTTTTTTGTACAACATGAGACTTTTGAGTGACATACATATCATAACTACTACTAGCACCCCCGAGATGGTAATGGTGATGGTGATGATCAAGTGGAACCAATTCGGGGGCATTGGTCAGAACCACAATGGTCTTGTACCATAGCTGCGATCCCAATATTCTAGTGATTGTACGCAACAGTGGTATGTCCCCATAATCATCATTCTTAATTGGCATGTCCAATCTATCAACATAAAGAACAATGTGAGTGGGTATTTTTTTTTATAAACCTCTTAATTGAGTAGAGGGTTTTCTCATTCCACTGCTGATCTGAACAATTCGACAAAGGCACAAGACCTGGCATGTCGATGAACCCTACCTTAATTCCTTGCACAGTTCCCACAACAACCCGAACCTTCTTTGTTCCCAACTGAAACGAATTAGTGCCACATTTAACTTCATCATCAAATATGGAGTTGATGATTGCACTTTTACCTACTCCTGATTTCCCAAGAACTAGTATTGTACATCCTGCCCTCGCCTCCTCCTGATCATGACCAGCTGCTGTTGCTAGTTGCTCTGCGGCAATGGCATTTTCACGGTCAGAGCGAAAGGTTGCAATAGCTCGAAGACGATGATGATCATGACTTCCCGGTAGCTGTAGCTGTTGATGATCATCATCAGAAGAAGAAGGTAATAGTACTAGTCTTTGTAAGACTTGTGATACAATCACTTTATTATTGGGATTATTTAATCCTTAACAACTCAAGTTTGGAATGTTATCAACAGTATACATTCCAAACTAAAATTAAACCTAAATAGAGCGAAGCGGGACGGGGTGACCCTACCCCGTTCCCGCACTGAAACCGTGCATTTTTCTTTTTTTTTTTTCCTTCCATAAAACCCTTTCCCGCCCAAATCTCTTAAACGGTCCCCAAAATCAGTTTAAACGGGTAAGGCGGGTACCCACCCCCACGGGACAAATTGCCATCCCTAGTGGGAACCAAGTTGTGGTTGCCTTTAAAGATTGAAACTCTAGAAAAAACCAAGTTGTGGTAGCCTCTAAAGATTTAACCTCTAGCAAATCCTCCCAAGAACACAAACCAACAAACCGATGTCAAACCTTCTTTGCATAACAAGAAGTACAGAAAAGATGATTGTTTGAATCCTCCCCATTATTACAATTGTGACATATTGAAGTAAGAGTGAGACCTTGTCTCTGAAGGTTACAAAAAAAATTTATTAGAATTCTGCATCACTAACACTGCAATAATAGAAATCCTTGGCCTATTGCCATTCCAAACCAGATGATACCAATGAATTGTGTCTCCGTGATGTGTACTCAATACCCAAAGCAACTCATCTTCCACAGGATTATTGTCAATTAAGTAGTCAATAATTACTGCCGGCCATGAAGGTGGTAAAATCCATCTATTTTCCTGCCACAAAACACTGACAGTGTCTTCACTATTAAAACCTGCACGTAGTCTTCTGAGTCTAAATTTCTGATATAAAGAGGCACCATCACACCAAGGATCAAAAAATAAACCGAATGATGTGTCATTATTGACTTTATACCTCAAATGGGGGAGCAAACAGTCCCTGACATCCAGTAATATTTTTTTTTATCGGAGGGAGGAGAGTGCGACGGTGCATGTGTGTGTCTGAAGAGATACACACATAAGAGAGTGCACCATCAAGTAAATACCTATGCATTTGTACATTCCATCCTCTGTGACCCTTGATTGTTCTGATACAGGTTCAGCTAATGAATCTTGAAACAGAGGATCTAGGGACTTACTCTGTCGAATCTACCCTGCCATTTCCAATACTTGGGTGAATTAGTATTAGGGCTATTCTTGTGGTTGTTAGTGGTGGTGCAGACATCACAATCTGATTTCTTTTTGGATTTTCTATATTCCTTTCACTTGGTAAATACTAGTTTTTTTTTTTTTTTTTTTCGAAACATTATGCTTACTTCAGTCCTGCAAAGACTAAACTTCTTCTACTGGATGGCGGGTTAAATCTTGTACTTCCGGGGGCAGAAACGTAGAGGTTAAAGAACTGAACTTTTCATTTTACAAACATAGTTTTGTTGCTATCAACTAATTATTTCTTTTTCATCTATAGACACACACCCTTATCTTTATACATATGTGTGTGTGTGTGTATGTTTGTATTGTACATATTCTCTTACTGTATTCATAAACATAGCTGAACTTGAGAGTTTGAGTTTAAGCATTTTCAATTTATTGTCATTTATAACAGTTTTAGCTGATTTACAAATTGTTGTTTTAGATTGAGATTGTAACGATCCCAAAACTAATACCTTTTAAACACAAAAAAAAAAAAATTGGCATAACCTCCCCTAAAAATAGGCCTACCATACCCTGTTTAAATTCATTTTTAACCTATCATGGCTCAAATTCCGAATTCACGGCAATAGTAGATGATGATACACAATCAAATGACCTCAATAATACTTCAAACTAGTATTACTCTCCCCATTCATCAATAAGATTTACATGTTATCAAATTCACATCCAAAATATCATAAATACCTTAATTACATTACATGACAAAGTTTTTGCAAAATATACATATACACCTTCACACTTTTAGTGCTTTGCAAAAATAATGGGAGATATACAAAAGACACAAAAGTAAGCTTTTAGTATCGCTCAAGCTTGAGGTGGGTTGTCGCCCACCAGTTCTTTTCCAATACCTGAAAAAAATGTATAAATAGTAGGGTGAGCTATATGCTCAGTAGGTAACACTTAAGACACAAATCTTGTGTCCTTGTGAATTCAAGCAAAGCATAGGCCAATGGGAGATAGGGATCATACAACGTAGGGGATCAAATACAACATACAATTCAATTCCAATTATAAACAATGCAATGCAATGCAATGAAATGCAATGCATGTCAATGACACTCCCCATTTTCATTCTCAAAACCATCACTTTCAAACGTTAATACAGCCCGCCCTTTGGTAACCCCGCCGCGACACGAGAGGAGGATTGGCTAGTATCCCTGACCCTTGGTGACCCCGCGGCGTCATTATGGGGCCCAACTAGCTCAACCACACTAGGGCGACTCCCTAGTCCCCTCTAGGCTATATTAACCTCCGGCTCGTTGGTAACCCCGCAGCGACCGGGTTTCGCATAAAATCATTTCATTAAAAACACTTTCCCGAAATTTCCCCTTTTTGAAGTAAATCAATTCTTTCCCTTTTCCTGCCCAATGTTAATGCATGAATACCTCAATGACATACACAAGTTCATCATTCCATACTTTATCCAATTTAAGCAACATGGCATAATTCGCAAGAATAATCAAAAAGTCATAACATGCTTATACATAACAAATTCTAGCACAATGAACATATATAATCAAGTCCTAAACATGCTTCACATAGAACAATCAATAAATATAGTCACACAACTAACATATATGCATACATATCAACAATTCTCTAGATTTTAAACCCCTAATCAAATTAAACAACAATTAGAGGCAATTAACTCACTAAGGTACAAGATTTCATGAATTAAGGGCCCCTACCTCAAGATTGCACCAAAACCCTAGAAAATGGGTCTCAAGATTCGAAATCCAAAGGGGCACAAAATCTAAAATTGCTTGTATGGATGTGTAGAGCTTGACACGAGCTTTGTTTTGCCTCAAATGGCACCTCAATCCGACAAAAGGTGGAGGAGTAATCTAAGAATGAAGTTTGAGTTCAAAAAGAAAAAGAAAAAACAAGAAATAGAGACAGAAGGAAGGACCAGCGGGAGAGAAGAAAAATGGAGACCAATTGTGGTCTCAAACCCTTTTTGGGTGTGGTGGTAGGTCCCACCAAAATTTAAATTTGTTTTCTCTTTTTCTTTTACTCAATATACATCACACAATACACATATACTTACACAGACATCACATTCTCCCCAACTTTAAAAAGATTTCGTCCTCGAAATCAAGACATACTTGAGGAAGAAAACAACGCTGGGTACTTGGACCGAACCTCCTGTTCGAGCTCCCAAGTAGCTTCCTCGACTCCGTGGTGTCTCCAAAGGACTTTCACCATTGGTATTATCTTGTTCCTCAACACCTTCTGCTGTGTGTCAAGAATCTGAACTGGTCCTTCCTCGTAAGAAACATCCTCATCGATATCCACATCAACCCAACTCAAAATGTGAGATGGATCCGGCTCGTACTTTCGTAACATCGATACATGAAAGACATTATGAACTCTGTCCATCTGTGGTGGTAAAGCAAGCCTGTAGGCAACCTCTCCTACTCGGTCCAAAATCTCAAACGGTCCAATAAATCGTGGCGACAACTTGCCACTTTTTCCGAATCTCATCAATCCCTTCCGTGGAAAAACCCGTAGAAAAACGTGGTCTCCCACCTCAAAGGATAACGGTCGTCTCCGCTTATCCGCATAGCTCTTCTGTCGGCTCTGAGCTGTAAGTAACCTCTGTCTTATCAACTTAATCTTCTCAGTAGTCTCGAGTACAATGTCGGGTCCTAAGGCGGCTGTCTCACCTACCTCAGTCCAACAAATAGGAGACCTACAAGGTCTACCATACAACGCCTCAAATGGAGCCATCTGGATGCTCGCCTGATAACTGTTGTTGTAGGTAAAATCAATAAGTGGAAGGTGATCCTCCCAACTACCTCCCAAATCAAGTACACATGCCCGAAGCATATCCTCCAAAATCTGGATAGTACGTTCTGACTGACCGTCTGTCTGTGGATGGAATGCCGTACTAAGATGCAACGCTGAACCAAACGCTACTTGAAGTCCTTCCCAAAACTTCGAAGTGAACTTAGCATCCCTATCTGACACAATGGTTACAGGAACTCCATGTAACCTTACAATCTCCTTCACATAAAGAACACCAAGCTTCTCTGCATCATCTGTTGCCTTAATAGGCAAAAAGTGAGCTGTCTTGGTCAATCTGTCAATGATGACCCATACGGCCTCATTGCCCCTCCTTGACCTTGGAAAACCTGTCACAAAATCCATAGCAATATGCTCCCATTTCCATTGCGCTACAGGTAATGGTTGCAACAAACCTGCTGGCCTCTGATGCATGGCCTTCACCTGCTGACAGGTAAGGCATCTAGCCACAAACTGTGCAACATCATTCTTCATCCCGTTCCACCAATACTGACGTCTCAAATTGTGATACATTTTAGTACCACCTGGATGAACTGCAAAGCGGGAAGTGTGAAACTCCCGTAGGACGTCCTCACGACAATATGTGGGAACCACCAACAAACCCCTGAACCGTAGACCCCCATCTGCATGTAAGGCCCAATCTTTCACTGTCTCACCACTAGAGATCAAAGCGTGGATGGCATCTAAGTCCGGGTCCTGTCTCTGTGACTCAATCACTCGTACAACAAGAGTAGGCTGAGCCACAAGACTAAATAAGAATGCCGACTCACTGCAAGCATCATCATCACAACACTGTAATCCCATCTCTGCCAAATCTTCAAGCATCTTCCAATTCCGAATAGCTAAACTGGCCAAAGTTCCACGAGATTTCTGGCTTAAGGCATCCGCTACCACATTCGCCTTGCCCGGATAATACTGCAAGTCAAAATTATAGTCCTCCAAGAATTCGACCCATCGCCTCTGTCTGTTGTTCAAGTCCTTTTGGGAGAAAAGGTACTTGAGACTTTTGTGATCTGAAAATACCTCGAATCTCTCACCATACAAGTAATGTCTCCAACACTTCAAGGCAAATACAATTGCCGCTAACTCCAGGTCATGAGTAGGGTAGTTGTACTCGTGAGTCTTCAACTGTCGAGACCCATAAGCCACTACTCTACCATCCTGCATCAACACACATCCCAACCCATCACGTGAAGCATCACAATAGATCACATAACCTAAGCCACGCTCAGGTATCACCAACACTGGCGCTGTAGTCAATCTCGTCTTCAACTCCTGAAAAGATGAATCACAGGCCTCATTCCAAACAAACTTGACCCCTTTCCGGGTCAAACGGGTCATAGGAGCTGCCAAACGGGAGAAATCCTTCACAAATCTCCGATAGTAACCCGCTAAACCAAGGAAACTGCGGATCTCAAACACATTCTTGGGTCGCTCCCAAGTCAAAACTGCTTCAACCTTTGATGGATCAACTGATACTCCACCTTCTGAAACAATATGCCTCAAAAACTTTACCTCCTGTAGCCAAAACTCACATTTTTCGTATTTGGCATACAATCGGTGCTCCCGCAAAATCTGTAAAACAATACTCAAATGGACCTCGTGATCTTCCCGAGTCCGTGAGTACACAAGAATGTCATCCACGAAAACTACCACAAACTGGTCCAAGTAATCGTGAAAGACGCGGTTCATCAAGTCCATGAATGCCGCTAGCGCATTAGTCAAGCCAAAAGGCATAACAAGGAACTCATAGTGTCCATACCGTGTACGGAATGTTGTCTTCGGGATATCCTCATCCCTAACCCGCAACTGATAATAGCCAGACCTCAAGTCAATCTTCGAGAAACAACTGGCTCCCCTCAACTGATCAAATAAATCATCTATCCTTGGCAAAGGATACTTGTTCTTGATGGTGACATGATTCAACTTCCGGTAATCAATGCACAACCTCAACGAACCATCTTTCTTCTTAGCAAACAAGACCGGTGCGCCCCACGGTGACACACTCGGTCGGATGAAACCTTTCATCCTCAAATCATCAAGCTGCCTCTTCAATTCTTCCAATTCAACTGGTGCCGTACGATACGGTGCCATAGAAATCGGCGCAGTACCATGCATCAAATCAATAGTGAACTCCACTTCTCGGTGTGGAGGCAACTCTGTCAAATATTCTGGAAAAACATCCAAGAAGTCACAAACAATCGCCGGATAAACTTCTCCCACGACATCATCTTCTTCGGCTAAAAGACTAGCTAAGAAATAATCACCATGACTTCGTCCACGAACTCCATAAAACGATGAAATGTGGGAATCACTCCGATCTCCCACGAAAAAGAAACAGTCTCCCTCGGGAGTGCAAACTGTAACCCTTCCTCTATAACAGTCGATCGTGGCATGAAATGAAGCCAACCAATCCATCCCGAGAATGACATCAAAGCTAGTCATCTCCAGGAGGATAAGGTCAAACACAAAGGTCCGCCCGGCTATCACAATGGAGCAATCCCGCACAACTCGGCTCAATGACACTGAAACCCCAACTGGCGTATCAACACATAACGCCCGATCCATGAAACTAACCTCTAACCCCGATGCAAGTGCAAATGATGATGAAATGAAAGAATGAGATGCACCAGAGTCAAACAAAACACGAGCCCAACAACCAAACACTGGAAATATACCTCGAAGAACTGACGGTCCAGAAGATGCATCGGTCTGTGCCAGTGCAAAAACACATCCCTGTGGTACCTGTGCCTGAGGACTGCCAACCTGAACACCTGACTGCTGCACTGACATAGTAGGAGTATCCCTCCTAACTGATTGTGAACCCTGTGAAGACATAGTAGGCTGTGGTGGTGGTGGTCTGAAACCTGACTGAACTGTAGCCGATTGTGACGGCCTCTGCTGTAACCCTCTGCCACTAATAGTGCCTGCTCTCTGACTCGGACAATCACAAATCAAGTGACCCTGCTGGCCACACCCATAACAAGCCTTCGGAGCTGACGAAACTGAAGACGATCTCATCGGACAACTGGACTTGTAATGTCCAGGCTGCTGACACTGATAACAAACAACTGCACTCCTGTCAGGTCCAGCTGGCATAGGAGTGGTAGGAGTAGATCTTGTAGACTGTTGCCCCTGAAACTGAGATGGACTGCCCCTGTTCCTTTTCCAAGAAGATCCCTCTGAGGATGGCCCTGCACCCCTCTTTTGCTTCAATTGCTCTCTTCTTGTATCCTTCTCTCTATTGTCAGCCTCCAGCATCAAAACCCTTTCCACTGCTTCAGAGTAAACCTTAATAAACTGTGCCGTGATCAACGGCCTCATTCGATCATTAAGACCCGAGACAAACTTCCGAGTCTTGTTAGCTTCATCTTTCACCATTTCTAAAGCAAAACGGGAAAGTGATGTGAACCTGTTCTCGTATTCCGCCACTGACATGTTCCCTTGAATAAGATTATGAAATTGGTCTTGTAACTCCCATCTTTTGGAAAGCGGAAAGTACTTCTCATAAAACAGTTCCTTGAACCTGTCCCAACTCATATCTTCAATCTTTTACTGGTTGGTGATCGACTTCCACCAAACCTTGGCATCCATAGCAAACTTGTAAGTTGCTAGGATGATCTTCAAGTGATCCTCTGTCACATCCATTGAGGTCAACTGAGTTTCGACTTGATCCATGTAGTTGTCGGCTACCATTGGGTCCGCACCGCCCTCAAACATAACCGGCATCAGCTGAGAAAACCCCTTAATGATCTTGAGACGCTTCTGAGCTGGCATCTCCTCAACTTGAACCGTAGGTTGTGGTGCCAATTGCGGATTAGCAACAATCGTTGCCCTCACGACATTTTGCAACAATCGATTCAACTCCAGTGCCACAGAACCTTCACCCACTTCTACGGGTACGGGTGTTTCAACATTCTCTCTTCTTGGGGGAATCAAGTCCCTAAGAAGCATGTTCTCATCAACTGGCTCCACCGGATTGGAGCTAGAGCTCTCACCAACATCGCCCCTTGTTGGCCTAGGGCCAACTTCTCTAGGTTCCTCACGCCGTGACATCGTGCTATAAAACGAGAAAACGATTCAGAAACATGACACTAAGGTCCACTGTGGACGACTCAACAAGAATTAATACCGTACAACACTTAGCATGCAAGACTATGCAAGAAACATTTTAACATAAACAAGTAAGCAAGTAAGCACATAGGCAGTTAAGCATGCTCATTTAAATAAGATACCACGTAGCAAGTAGTCAAGTAAACAATACAAACAACATCCCATGCGACTCTATGTAGGCCTCTACCGTCGTCCTAAAGGTTTTCGAACCTTTGCTTTGATACCAAATTTGTAACGATCCCAAAACTAATACCTTTTAAACACAAAAAAAAAAAAAAAAAAAAAAAAAAAAAAAAAAAATATTTGGCATGACCTCCCCTAAAAATAGGTCTACCATACCCTGTTTAAATTCATTTTTAACCTATCATGGCTCAAATTCCGAATTCACGGCAATAGTAGATGATGATACACAATCAAATGACCTCAATAATACTTCAAACTAGTATTACTCTCCCCGTTCATCAATAAGGTTTACATGTTATCAAATTTCCCGAAATTTCCCCTTTTTAAAGTAAATCAATTCTTTCCCTTTTCCTGCCCAATGTTAATGCATGAATACCTCAATGACATACACAAGTTCATCATTCCATACTTTATCCAATTTAAGCAACATGGCATAATTCGCAAGAATAATCAAAAAGTCATAACATGCTTATACATAACAAGTTCTAGCACAATGAACATATATAATCAAGTCCTAAACATGCTTCACATAGAACAATCAACAAATATAGTCACACAACTAACATATATGCATACATATCAACAATTCTCTAGATTTTAAACAACTAATTAAATTAAACAACAATTAGAGGCAATTAACTCACTAAGGTACAAGATTTCATGAATTAAGGGCCCCTACCTCAAGATTTCACCAAAACCCTAGAAAATGGGTCTCAAGATTCGAAATCCAAAGGGGCACAAAATCTAAAATTGCTTGTATGGATGCGTAGAGCTTGACACGAGCTTCGTTTTGCCTCAAACGGCACCTCAATCCGACAAAAGATGGAGGAGTAATCTAAGAATGAAGTTTGAGTTCAAAAAGAAAAAGAAAAAACAAGAAATAGAGACAGAAGGAAGGGCCAGCGGGAGAGAAAAAAAATGGAGACCAATTGTGGTCTCAAACCCTTTTTGGGTGTGGTGGTGGGTCCCACCAAAATTATAATTTGTTTTATCTTTTTCTTTTACTCAAAATACATCACACAATACACATATACTTACACAAACATCACAGAGATCGAACAGATAATTTTTTCTATGGTTCCGCAGTTCTACTTTAGCAGCATGTTGATTAAATACAAGTTAGTTGGAGAACTTAGATTTTTGCAAATTTGGAGAATTGAAAGGCTGTTGTCAACGTATGGTATTTCTTCGTTCTTCCCCTTTGTATAATGTTGTTTCCTTCATGCCTTTCAAATAGAAGAAATGGTGGATTTAGAATCCATTTCGATTTAATAAATTACCCCTGATTTGGCTTCAGTAATTCCTCCCCACTCCCCACTTTTTTTCTTTCCTGCTTTTGAACTTTGATGGTAAAATTCTTATTACTTCAATTGTAAAACTGTTTCTTTCATTTTACCACCGAGATGTGTAAACATATTCCTAAAGTGCCATTGCTTGCTAAAATAAGTGCCATTGCCACTTTATCATATGTTTTAATCTAGGTAGTGTCTGACTTGTTACTGTGCTAGTGTGCTCTTGATTCTTGGTTTTGAATAAAGTTATTGTTCCGTATTTTTCTTTGAATCAGGCTCAAAATTTATTTCTTGGATGTGTCCGTTATTGGCTGTTTCTGGAGTACTGGTACTTGTACAATTTACCCCGTAAAATTTTTTATATGATCCAGGCATTTGATAAATCATTTTTGTGTATCTTATCTTTCTTCTCAATGGGACCAGATTTATTTATCATCATTCTCTGTTGGAATGGGAGCAGATTTAATTTCCTCATTTCTAAGTACTTCTTTGTACCATTTTGACCATGGATCTAACATTTTCCATGGCTTAGTTAAGAAATGCATTCCATTTCCAGTATCCTTCCTCAACATTGGATATAATTTCACATTTTCTACCTTAATCAAATATATGATATGTGAATGTTTGTAAAACTGACAGTAGCATTGAAGTTCTCTCTTTTTTTCTCTTCATTTTCTTGGAAACCAAACGAAGAGCCGAGAAAGTAATTGAATTTCCTCTATTTTGGTTGTATGATAAACCATTTTGACCTTGTTGGTGAATAATGTTTCACAGGGAGCTGAAGAGGATGAGAAGACAGAGAACAGGGCTTTATTTACCAAATTTGTAAATACAAAAACATAGATAATGCACTTTACGATTAAGATTGTCTTTTGTTGGGAATACAGGACCCTTCGTTAAGTTTTTCTAGAAACTGCAAGAGCTAGTTTTCTGCTTCCGAATTGATATATTATTCTTATGTTGTGTTATAGGTCCTTTTTACCTGGCATGTGCTTGGGGCTGTTATTTTGTATGTCTAGGTTGGGATGCAATGTTCATTCTCTTCTTCTTCTTTCTTTTTATTTTTTATTTATCACTATTTAACCCAATAAAAAGTATTTACATGGTTCTTTTCTCCTTGTAATGCTCATTTTTCTTCCTGTGCATTACAAGAATCGAATCCTTGAAATTCTTTGGGTAGTGAAAAATTTAGCTCTGCTAAGTGTCATACGTTGTTTCACTGTCTTCCAAATAAGAATGTGAAAGTTTTGTATTGGTTGTATTGTTTTTATACTAAACGTGAAATCGAGTCAATGTGCATAAATAAATGGTAAAACAAGCAATGATATATGATTGATCAGACCAATGTAAAAACTACTTGTTCTTCATTTCAAATGAAGCAATAGAGGGACAAATCTAATGTGTCATCTCATTCTCCTATGAATCATAAATGAGCAATTGGAGTCAAATTGCATATGACAGCAGAATTTAAATAAAATCCATCAGATTTACAGATAATACCTTTGGAATATCTAGATGACATTTTGTTACCAAAATTCTGGTCTTCGTCGCACACTGCTTCTGAATTGAATTTGGGCAGTGAAAGGAAGCAACGAGCAAAAGGGAACACCAACAGATTATCACACTGACTCACTTCGGAGTTTAGACTTTGGGCATGCTCGTCTATCCTCTGAAGGATGTAATTGTAGCAATGTATAAAGAATCGACTATTATCATTTCTAAAACCCATAACTATAACATCTGAATCAGGATAAAAACCATAAATCCATGGATTCATAACATCTGAATCAGGATAAAAACCATAAGTCCATGGATTTCGCTCTGAAGGCTTCGGAAAATTGTTAGTAAATTTGAAGTAAATATTGTGCTTTAGGGACCAATAGAAGTCATCTTTATTCAGAGAGCCATAGATGTTACCACTTGTGTGCTCCAGTGTAAAAATGCGCAGCTCTTTGCCATTAAAGAAAGCATATTGCAGGATGTCCCCATTGTGCAGCCCAAGGCATTCACGTCTTATACATCCTGGAAGTAAAAGATTTCGAGCTAGAGGAGGATCAATGGATTGAACACGATCGATTTTGCTCACCTGCTGCCAGTTTATGAAAATCCTCATAATGTGGCCTGTCAGGGACAGTTTGAACAGTGTCCCCTTGAAGAATACAGATTGTGTTCTCTCTAGATTCAATTCTTTTTGGAGATGAAACTTAGATTCAGTCCACTTCTGTGTCTCCGAAGAAAAGATCTTCAAATGGGCACAACCCTGCCGGTTTGGGATGAGGACAACCTTATAGTGATTGGATTCAGAAGGATTGAAAGCAAGTGCGCCAATTGCATCATGCGTGGTATCAAAGGTTTTCCCAATAATTTTCACACACTCACTCGTGGTGGGATTGCACACAATGTACTTGGGAGTTGTATATACACTCGACTGGCGAAATAGCAACAACCCATTGCAGCAGTCTAGAAATTCTCTGTTTTCATGAGGGCTGGACGGGCCTGGTAATGGATTCTCGGCACCAATGAGTTTTTTCTGCGAAGATGAGCGACGTCCATGGCAATACCACAAGCCTCGTCGGGACGAATAGCCCAAGAACCCAACGGAGAAGATGAATCCGGAGAAAGGATATCTATCCTTTGGAATCAGTTGGTGATTGCAAAGTTCAACGATCAAATGGCGCCAACAACTCGAAACGCCCTTGTATTTGATGAGGGTCTCAGGAGGGAATCTACCAAGGATCTGGTCTTCAGTTAACATGTTAATGTTACTGATACGAGCACCGGCACCGTCGTCGTCATAATCGTCAATAATCCCATCGCTACTAGCACCATACTTGCCCTCATCAATACTTGTAATCCTAATGCTAGAAGTACTATCAATCTTGTTTTTATTGCTAGTGATCTTCTTGTTGATACCACGAATGTTCTTGAAGGTATGCTCTATGTCATTCCAGAACCAGCCCAACAATAAAATCAAAGCGGAAGATATTCCAATGACTTCTTCCATGTGTGGAATGGTTACTAATTGACCGAACAAGTCCGGACCCTATAGTCGTGTCTTTTTACGGTCGTACTCTTACTTGATTAGAATTCTTAAAATTACACATTACTTAAAGCCTTTGTTTGGTAAGGCCAAAAAAAAAAAAATATGAGAGAGAGAGAAAAATTTTAAACTTTTTTAAAGTTTGGATAGATAGAAAGATAATCGGAAAATTTAGTTTCCGCTTTCCCCCCAAAAATTTTCCTCTAAAAACGTGTTTCTCTGCGCAAATTATACCGATAATTTTTTTTTTTTATTATTGTTCCATATTTATATGCAGTTCCTATTTTACCCAGCAGTTTAATCGTTGCAAAGTTCTCTCCAAAGGTAAATTCTCTTACAGATAGAATTTTTTTTTTTTTTTAATTATATGTTCTATATTGCATTTCTAGCCACTCATAATCCCAAATCATACTAAAATCAGAATTTTTTATAATTAGGGAGGTTATTTTAACGATTTTTTTTGTTCCAAATATATACCCAATATCCAATATATATATATATAGATACTGGGTATATACCCAGAATCCAAATCATACTAAAATCATAATTTTTTATAATTAGGAATGCTATTTTAACGATTTCTTTCGTTCCAAATATATACCCCGTATTAAATAACTATATCTATATCTATATCTATACTATTATTAAATGTGCAAAGTGTTTCAGTGTTTCGGTATTTTAGTATTTCAGTATTTATTTATTTATATAAAAAAATATTTATTAATTGATATAAAAATAGTTTTTGTAAAAATAGTTTCTATAAAATTTTAAAAATTACCTAATAAAATCAATTAGTTATTTTTTATGGATAATTATAGTTTCTATAAAACTCTAAAAATTACCTAATAAAATCAATCACATTATATATAAAACTCTTATTTTTAATTATTTTTTATGGATAATTATCACAATATAACTAGACCGGCCCAATTATGATTATGTCATTAACAGAAAAGGACACATGTCATCATCCTATTCATCCAAGAAGTCTATAAATAGAGGCATGGAGGAAGGCGAAAGGAGTACAGAAATTGAGAATTCTATAAATCCAGAATTTCAGAGTAAAATACTAAAATACAGAAGCTCTATCAAGAGTTTTTATCTATACTATTA